TTTTTCAAACTATGATTTCCAATTCTTAAGATGTGATCATCATCATAGACACGAAATGTGCCGAGCATTAGTTTCCCACGTTCATTTCTGACACCATAAGGCACATCTTTTAGTAATTCAGACGATATAGTCCATGATAATGAATCATTTGCAATACTTGGTGTTGATTGATGTAATTTAAACGAAATATCATTCGCATCATTATCATCCGCAGGAAGCGAGTGAGTGAGGGTTTTGTGGGATGTTGTATAAACATCGTTATCTGAGTTTTCTTCATTGTTGACAGGATCTTCAAATACATCACTTGAAGAAATTGATGACTCACTTGTGCTGTACTTAGGTTTTTTAATAAGGTGAGCTTGGTCTGTTTTTCTGGTAAGCATATTAAGTGGATCAACGATAGGCTTAGATATTGTTTCCAAAGCCAGACTGTTTGTATTTTTTGCATCTTTTATCATTTCTACCTTTACTTTTACAGCTGCAGCAGATTTTGCAATTTGTTTCTTGAGGTCTCGCTCCATTGTAAAGGAATTTTACTATGTTTGACTACTCAGCAGAAATGATTGCTTTGTGACATAGCAGCTATTTAAACGTTAGTTTAAAATTATGTTTTGTATGTTAATTAGATAATTATGAATGTATTAAACTTCATTCTGTAACAGCCTTTATATCGTTCACAGTTTTTATTTATAACAATGTAATTGAAAGGTTTACTCCACACAGTTGAACACATTTCCCGGAACTGAGACCATGTCATGTCAGACCCTACATGCTCGTCATAGATGTGTCTCCGATTTACGTTATCTTGTTTAAACAATATGATCACGTTAGCGTTATCTCTAACTAGTTGCTTAGGTATCTTAGTATGCGTTTGATTAATATAAAAACAGTCAATGTTCTTATGTCGACCCATGGCGAAATAATCGCGTATGTTGTTCTGATTTTCGCAAGCTACATCGTCAGATATTATAATTGAGTAAGGCAAAGCTTCGTGTGGACTCAAAATTTCGCTATTATGATTATTCTTGTAATAAGATATACCTTCCACATTCTGCAGTACTTTTTCTAAAAATAAGTATTTAGGTTGATATAAAGACTTTGAATATACATAAATGTTGCGAAAACGCGGTCCATTCTGTTGTAACATTAAGCTGATAACTAAGTTAGATTTTCCGCAATTCGATGGACCGCATACAATAATTATGCGGTCCATCGAATTGCGTATTATACAGGTTTGTTAACTTGTCCGTATTGGCTGATAGGTTTTAATGAACTAACGTTATTTCAATCGTGTTAATAATTTAAAAACTTGAAAGAGTTGCTGAAGATTAACTTAATCATCAGCTTTAGTTCAAAAGCATTCACTCACTCTTGTTTCACTCAAGCTATGTGCCCACGATGAAGATGAAGATAGGGTTACCATATCTCAGGATTTGTCCTGAGATTTCAGGATTTTTAGACTCTTCTCAGGATTGCGGCTGGATTTTGCAAATCTCATGAAATCTCAGGATTTTTAGTACTTTCAATATAATACAGCTTACATTTTAAAGATCTCTTTAATAAAAAGTTAAACAAACTAAAAATAATTTTCCTTTGGTAATAATTCCATAATTAAAATCAAAACTTATTTATCCAAATAGGTACTTAAATAGTTTTATCATAATTAATATGTGAAGATACCTTTTTAAGTAAGGTTTTCTTCTCAAACTGTAAAAAAATCTCAGGATTTTTAAAAGGAAATCAGGCCTCTTCTCCAGACTTTTAATTTTTTCATCTGGTAACCCTAACTGAAGACCATAATTCTCTCAAGTATAGGTCCATTTTTTTAGTCTAACCAAATTAGTACCTACATGTTTGCAAGTTTCTATATTAAATCAATTAATTTAACCAATGGTGGGTGATCGCAAATGATCTAGCGGTTTGTACTACGAGTGAGCTACAAAGCCTGATGGCTGCGATTCGATTCCCATCCAGTATAAAAATTATGATGCATGACCACATGAAAACATTCGTATATACTGTTGGAGACCTTTTTTTTTCTTTTTTCTACGTGTAACTAGCGAGCGTTAGCGGTTCAGGCATTCTATTATGATTGAGTAACAAACATAAAAAAAAACATCTAACATACACTTTTATGTTTATGTTATTAATTAATAAGATAAGCATGTAGTTACTTTCATAGCGTAATGTTTTATGGAATCTAACTATGGGATAATGCGACTGACATTGAAGTCATATTTATCTGCAAAAGATAGGCATACGGATGATTTATAACTTAAATTGTAAAGAGTCCCTTAGAGACAAATTTAAGGAAATAAACATATTAACTAACATCGAAATATATTTATGAAAATGTAATGTATGTACATAAAAACATAAATAGCTTTCATAAGAAAAACATATGTTCATTTTTAAACAATAGGAACAAACATAAGCTTGTAATACCAGTTTTTAGACTTTATAGAATTAGTAATTAATTTATGGGTAGGCAATATATACGCTTTTACAACAAACGCCTGTGTGTTATACTAGACTATATTCTATCTAGAGATATTACGAATAGTGATTTCTCATATTTACGCGAACACTAGACATTTAAATAAAACTAATTTTACGGATTTTATCGCGTAATATTAACTTATTTTATATTCCCGACGTTTCGGGTGCTTTCCAGCACTCGTGGTCACGGGGGACTGAGGTGTTTGACGTCCTGATGTCATAGTTAGCCCGGCTACCTTCAGTTTTTTAATATTAATTTTTGGTTCACACTGCCTCACATCTGGCTATTTATTGTGGAAAGAAGAGTTCTATATGCAAGTAGACGGAGTGGCAATGGGCGCACCTGTATCTCCCGTAGTCGCCGACATATTCATGGAGGACTTTGAGGAGAAAGCCCTTCTTACTGCTCCTGTAAATCCAAGATTCTACAAGCGGTACGTAGACGATACTTTCACAATTTTACCATCTGACAAAGTAACTGCATTTTTAAACCACCTTAATTCCATAAACTCTAAAATACAATTCACAATGGAGTTAGAGGCAAACAATACTTTAGCTTTCCTAGATGTTTTAGTCATCCGAAATCCTGATAACACTATTGGTCATACTGTGTACAGAAAAAATACCCATACCAACCGATATTTAAATGGTGAATCGCACCATCATCCTTCACAGTTAGCTACCATGGGAAAATCTTTGTTTCAGAGAGCACGAGGAATCTGTGACATAAAACATCTGGCCGCCGAGCTTCAGCACGTTGAGCAACTACTGCAAGACAACAAGTTTCAGGTCCCGCGCCTACGTCACAGTGACCGAGTGAAGCCAGCTACAGTCGAGCGTGTGCCTGCTGTACTAGGTACCTAATTATCTAGATCTACCTATAAATAATAATATTTCGATATCCTTAGGAACAGTAAAGAATGAAAAGTCAACATTGCTACTGTTATTTAAGCACCCGTATGCTATGCAGTACCTTTTGGCTTTTTGAGTGGCCATACTTGAATAAAAACTCAAAAATAAATATCAAAAGTGCCCAAATACTTATAAAGAGAAAAATACTTTTTTGTTACGCGTCAACTCAAGCCCGCGCGTGACAGGTACGGCATGTGCCTGAGACAACTACATTAAATAAGGAACGTTTTCCCCCCAAAGGGAAGAAAACGATATATTTCATGTCTTGCCTAGGCTTGACCATAATGAGATAACACTTACTGTATCTATCCATATAATACCCATACATTCAAATAAATGCTTGCGTTCGTCTAGGTAGCGCTGTCGTGGGCGCTTCTCCCTCCGCGGGAGGCGGGGCGGTGAAGCGACGGCGCCCGCGTTCTCAGTACCTCTCACTAGTCGTCAAGAGCTTATCCTGGTCAAGCCTAGGCAAGACATGAAATATATCGTTTTCTTCCCTTTGGGGGGAAAACGTTCCTTATTTCATGGTCTGTGCCGTCGGCTTGACCATAATGAGAGGTTTTTAGTTTCTGACGACGCAGGATTAGCGTACTGTGAATAATATATAGTTTTAAAATAAAATAAACGTGTATGCAAATCAACTGCCTTTTTATTATTTAAAAAAAAATGTGGACATTAAAACAATCTAGATAGCTTTAAAATTAGAACAAACTAAGTCATTAACTGGATGAGCACCAGATGTTTTTTAATTATCTCTTTAAAGTAGAACTTAACTACATTTTTATCAGATTTCCAATTTCCATTTTTAATGATTATATCTAAAGGAACATTGTTCTCCTGCCTCGAGGAGGCTACGGCAGATCTTATACTTCCAGGCGAAAAATCAATACCAAGATGCTTTAAAGCAGATTTTACCCATCCTGCAATTGTGGCTCTAGTTGCAGACTTTACAATTCCGCGTGTAGATACAAACAAAGATGTCAATTTGTTTCTTGCCTGTCTTCTAGAGGCTGACAAATCAATCAGTCTTTTCGTCCAATATATGGGATCTAGAGACTTAATCAAACCTTTAGATAAATGCCAACCTGATTGTTGATGATTAATCTTATCTGTTTTTGAACCATATACAGGCCAAAAGGTAACGGAATCCTCACTCAGCTTTAGATGATCATCATCAATCCTTAGAAGAGTAAGATCGTGTATTCTTCTACCCGACGCCAGCAAAAGAAGCAGTGCCACATGGCGGGATACTTCAAATAGACTATCTTCATTCATAACTGAGGTTTTCATCCAAGCAATCAGCTGTTCGACATTCCAGATATATTTCTTCGACGATGAAGGATGAGAATTCTCTATTGCTCGAATAATATGTTTCACCAAAGGGTGACTGGAAATTTCTTCCCTTCTTAAGGGATCACCCATAGTAGCTATAACAGACTTGTGTAATTTTATTGTTCTAGGTGCGAAGTGTTTTACTCTATGTAAAAAACTAAGATATTGGGCTACATCAGCTGGATCAGGTTTCTTCGGATCCAGGTTCATTTTATTACATCTCGTTACCCAAGCTTTCCATAATGCGGCGTACGTTTTTAAAGAAGACTTTCTCCAAGATCCTTTGAGTAATTCAACGTCTTCTTGGGCCCATGAAGATGTGATTTCTGACCACCCCGTATCAACCAGGCCTCCAAGCGTAGATTTCGCGCGTCCGGGAGAGGTACGTTCTGTGTCGCGTCCGATAGATGATGCTGTAAATTTCGAATGCAAATCGGACGGTCCAGTGCTCTTCGTCTCAGATCCGCCCTCCAAAAAACTCGTTCCCATCTTGGCGCAACTAGGATGTAAGTACCCCTTGCTTTGTTCAAGTGTGCCAGCACACGAGGCATCAGTCCTGGTGGTGGGAAAATCCAAGCTAGATCGAAGTCCCAGATTCTGCTGAAAGCATCTATAAAAAGAGCACATTTGTCTGTTGTGTCTCGAGATACATAAATCGGTACAACTTTCGAGAAGGCAGTGGCAAAGAGGTCGACCTGAGGAGTTCCCCATTTCTTGAATAGTAGGTCCGTCACTTTGTTCGAGAGATGCCAATCCGCCAGGTGCTTCTGACGAGAAAGGCTGTCTGCCATCTCGTTGAAGACTCCCGGTATGTAGTAAGCAAAAATTTCGATTTCGTTCTCGTAGGCGAGTTCCAGAATCTTTGACACTAGTTCTGTCAGTAGAACGGATTTGGTTCCACCTTGATTCCGTATGTAGGAAACCGCTGTTTTGTTGTCCGATTGAATTACTACGCGTTTCCCCCTTAATTGAGTTAGCGTCAAAAGTACTGCTTGATAAATTGCGTATAGCTCCTTGCGATTTATATGCCACAGAGTTTGATTGGTCTTCCAAAGTCCGTTGAGGAGTCTTTTGTTGACCTGGGCACCCCAACCCGTATCTGAAGCATCTGTTGTCACAAATATCGTTTCGACGCTGGCGAAGATTTGTCGATCTTTCTGAAGGTTTTCCAACCACCAAACGCATTCCTGGAGTGCTTTCGGCGGGGTAAGATATTTGTGGTTCTTTTGATGTTGGGGTAAGTTTCTTGCTGCACGTTGCAGATGTCTCGAATGTAGTCTTCCTAGAGGAACTGTGAAAGATGCAAAAGCTAACTTTCCGACAAGTCTTTTTCCGCTGACCCAACTCCAGGTTCCCGACCTTGTTATTTGCTCTAGATCCTTCTTTAAAAACGCGATCTTTCTGTCAGGTAAAAATGTTTTGTTGTTCTGAGTATCCCACATTAATCCCAAGTATTCTAGGCAACCAGTTGGTGGATTCAGAGATTTTTTCATATTTAATATCTATCCGAGATCCTGCAAAAACTTGACTGTGAATTGGATATCTTTCTCTAATTCGTTCGGGTGTTGATTGGCCAAGAGAAAGTCGTCGAGGTAAACTATTAGTCTTATTCCTCTCTCTCTGAGCTGGCCTGCCAGCCAGTTTGACACTCTTGCAAATGTAATGGGAGCTGTCGCTAGGCCGAAAGGTAGGCAAGTGAACTGAAGTATCCTGTGACGATGAAATATTGCCAAGAACTTTCTGTGTTGCAGTTTTATTGGTAAGTGAAAATACGCCTGGGAAATATCTATTTTCGAGAGGTAGTCCCCTTCTTGGAGAAATTCTGGCACTCGAAAATGATTTAGAAGACGGAATTTCTTTGGCCGTAGAAACCTGTTTAACCCTCGAAGGTTTATAATAGGGCGAAAACTGCCGTCTGGTTTTAAAACTGGAAACAGCTTGGATAGGTATCCTAGGGGTGAAAGACAGGGTTCCAAAATGTTCTGAGAAATCATGACCTCTATCTCTGCGTCCAGTCCCCTGGAAGCAAACTTCTCTAGGCAAACTCCCGTCAGAGGGGTAAAAGGAGGTTTTACCACGAAGGGGATAAAATATCCCTCTATTATTTTCAGAATCCCCGGAGGTGCCCCCATTTTTTGCCAGACGTTCACGAATTTTCTCAGTCTCCCCCCTTTAAAATCCTGCAAGTCAGGATTGTCTTGGTTTTTTAGAACTGGACTCGTTGTAGAATGAGGGTTTATCCTTGGAGCGAGCATTAAAACTTCGCTTTGGGGCTCTCTTAGAATTAGGCTTCCAGGATTCCATTTTAGAACCTTTAAACTGCTGTGAGCGGGGTTTGAATGTCGTCCTGGACGATTTATGGACTCTTTTTCGTTGTTCAAAACTTGAAGTTTCTTTTGGTTGAAATTTGGGCTTAAACGAGGAATATGATGTGGTGGAACCACGAAAAAATCCTTGAAACGAGAGTTGTTTTAAGAGCTCTGAAAATTTATTCTCATCGAAAAGGTGTGTTGAAGATGGCGGAATATCATTCAATAAAGTTGAAAGATAGACATCTTGCGGTAGAAAGGCATTTCTTCTTTGCTCTATTGCCTCGACTTTGCGACCACAAACATACTGCAGTACATCATCGGAAACACATTTGAAAGCTGAATTCGTGCCGTAAAGTGACTCTTTGAGGTCCTGCTTCAGGGAAGGATGTTTGTTTGAAAGGTCTTTTACAACACTGGTGAGTGCCTCTCTCTGTAATAGTAAGCCATGCAGTATCGTACCAAAGGAAGCTTCCTGTTTTGTTAGAGAGTCCAGAGAAGCGCTGGAATTATTAATCTTCATTAGGGCAGGATTCAGCTTTAAAGCATGGAACACTGGAAATGCTTGTAATTTCTTTTGCACTTCAGCGTACCGGATCTGGTTATAGGATAATTCTCCTAATCTTAGGCACTGAATACCTTGTGACTCAATATGAGGTTTTGGCGTAGGCATTGTTGGTTCTTGTTTCTTTGTTTGCGGAATAAAGTCACGATCGTCATCTTCTTCCTCTTCTAATGGTAGATCTGGCGCCTTCCATTTAACAGTCTCCGACTTATGCAAGGACTGACTGTTTTGAAGCTCATCTTCAGAAGAAGCGTAGGATTCTTCTGGCTCGGACTCATTATCGGAGATGGGTTCAAATCGTTTCATAAAGTTGGAAAACATGTCCTTCATATCACCGAACTCTTGTTCCAACTTGTCCAATCTTGAGAGCTTCTTTGACTTAGATGATGAAGAACGAACTGTCGATAACTCATCAGCATCGTCGCTGTCAGCAAGCTCTTTTGAAGCGTCTTTTCGACTTAGCAAGAGAGTCTTGAGTTCAGTAAGTGAGGCTACGATTAATTCATTTTGTACAGCAGAGCCTCTTATTCTAGCACCGACGGACGGTGGACCAATAATAAGCCCCACACAAAAAGGCCATTCAAGCATTTTAATTTTGATGTCTTTATATACTTTTTCCGGAAGCGAGGTACAATCTGAACAAAAAGCTCTAGCAAGCTCCACCGTAGGCAGACTGAATCTAATTTTGTTTAAGATCTGGGAATCAAAAACTTCACCCAACAGCTCCGCTCTAGAATGAGTAACGACTTTCCACTGGCGCCATCCATCAGGTAGATACAATTCTGCCAACCTTTTCACTCTCTCTAAAATCTCCCCGTCTTCCGAACTATCAGGTTCCCATTCCAAGAGAGACTCTAATGTCACTGACTCTTTTGCGACTGCCATCTGCGACAAAAAAATAAAAGAAGTTATTCAATTGTCTGCTCGAAACAAGTCACATTTGTACTTAAAATGAGCCGTCTGGCTGCTTAAATCAAGCCGTAAGGCTGCTTAAATCGGGCCGTAAGGCCGCTTAAATCGAGCCGTAAGTCCGCTAAAATCGGGCCGTTGGGCCGCTCAAATCGAGACGTGAGGCGGCTAAAATCGGGCCGTCGGGCCGCTCAAATTGAGCCGTGAGTCCCCTCGAAACGAGCCGTCAGGCTCCTCAAATCGGGCCGTACGGCTGTTGCCTTGAGCCGTAAAACTGGTTTGAAGGAGACCGAGTTTTAGCATTGTTACCCAGTATAAGGCAGAAAACATAAGTCATACCTCTCGTAACATTAAATTATGTAAGTAGGCACCCAAATACAGGTATAACAATCCCACAGACGTGATTGTCGTATGGAGATTTCAGAAATAATTACGTAGATACACTTAAATCTACTACTTACAAAGTTACGAGAGGAGAACACTAGAAACAAATAGTATTTATTATAAATATTGAAGCAAACTTACCATTAAGGTAGAATTTTTATTACACACACACACACAATATTCACACAGCAACAACAACGATTCGACTAAATATTATACTTTAACAAATAGTCTCGAACGACACGCGTCGTTAATATTTTTATTTATTAAAATGACGTGGGTACGTGTATTCACATGGATAGAAAAAGCGTACTGAGAACGCGGGCGCCGTCGCTTCACCGCCCCGCCTCCCACGGAGGGAGAAGCGCCCACGACAGCGCTACCTAGACGAACGCAAGCATTTATTTGAATGTATGGGTATTATATGGATAGATACAGTAAGTGTTATCTCATTATGGTCAAGCCGACGGCACAGACCATGAAATGACTATAATATATTGTTATAATAACGTTTACAACAAAGTGTTTAAAAAACGCTATGGAGGGATTGTCTTCGCTCTACAAACTGTCATTAAAATTATAATTTAGCTCTGTAGTGCACTATATAATAACTTCATCTTTTAAGAACGTAATTTTCTGCAAATAATCTGCTCACATTGTTACGATATTACCCTCGACATAACCCTCAGACATGAAGTTTTCGATGCGAAACGATTGCACGCTCTTAACAAAACTTAATACCAAGCTTTACAATGTCTACATGTAGCAGTAATGTACATTTTTAACATTTTATAGTAATTTTTGGTATTTGCCATCATCTTTTGTCAGTTTGCATGAAAGAATTAAGAGGTTTCTTTTGAAGATTGCCAGTAATTGTCGGGTTGTTTATGTAAGTATCGAATAGAATATATCTTCAACAGTATTATTTGGTATATTAATAATCACTGGGAAGAAAAAAAAATCTGAATATTCATAAACATATATGAAATTTACGTGGTAGAGCCATGTTGCAGCTATATTAATAGAGTAGTTGTAGCACGAATGGGTTGGCTCGACCGGGGAAGGCGTTATACCAGCGTAAAATAGCAGCTTAACGCAGCTGTATTTCGTATGGTGAGTGTAGAGAACCGGAGACCCTTTTTACTGGAAATGAGGCATTCCATCTTAGTCCTCACGGGTGACAACGCATCTGCATTTTGATTTGTAATGAGGATAGATGTAGATGTCTATGGGCCGCAGCAACCACTTACCATCAGCTGGACTGTGTGCACGTTTGTCACCCTTATCCTATAAAAAAAATCAATCCATCCTACGGCACTTCCTTGAAACTAAAAACATGTAATAGTAAACAGCATCGACTGCAAGCCCGCATTTTCGTTTGTATGGCCCAATGCAAACACTTTCTAAGAATAATCCGTACTTTCTAATTAATAAATAAAATAACAATAAACTTTTGGTTTTGTAATTAACAAGCCCGAAAGAAACATGCCTTTCAAACAACAACTTTTATTATGATTAAAATGTTCGTATCAGCTATTATGAGAGATGATGTAGCTCAGGGGCAAAGCGCACGCCGAAAATATCGTAATACGCGGGCAACACGTCGTCAACAATGAAATCGTTATAATACCTGAGATAAATTATTTGTTATCGCTACGCTCGGTAAGGCGATGTGCGATCACAGTACCAGTATTTTACATCACATCACCGAATACGAAAGTCACAAATGCCTCGAGATATGCACAAAGCAAAAGTGGAAATGGGCAGGCCATGTAGCGAGGCTTACAGACCAGAGATGGACCGTAAGAGCAACCCTATGGAAAGGTCCACAAGGAAAAAGAAACAGAGGAAGACCAATAACACGATCTTAAAAGAACCGCTGGCTCAAACTGGAGCCAAATAGCACAAGACAGAGACAAATGGGCATCTTTGGAGGAGGCCTATACCCAATCTGGGGTCCTAGCAATAAATAAAACTAATAAATAATACTAATAAATTTAAGTATATTTAAATAAAAATAAAAATTAACAAAAATAAACTAATTAAAGACACTAACCCATAAAACTACTAGAATTAAGAAATCGATATTGCAAGGATAAAGGGTTTTTTTTTTAATTTTTAATTTTTGTTATTTTATAATTATCATCACCTTACCTTGACTGTATCGTTGGTCTAGTGGTCGCAAGCGCAACTGTCCGATCTGATCATGAGATCCTGGGTTCGAAGCCCAGGTTGGACTAAGAATCATTTAATGCAGTTTTCTTTCAAAATATTCTCAGTAGCAGCCCGGAGTCAGGAATTTGGCGTTGTTTCACCCCCGTGCCCC